CGCTACAGGCTCTGCACCATGCCTGGATCACAGCCGTCGGCCGAGGCGGTGCAGCACGTATTCTAGCCGTGGATATTGCCGGAGCATTCCACCATGTGTCCCATGTAGGCCTCCTCCACAAAGTCCGCCATCTTGGCATTGGCGGCCACCTGCATGCCTGGCTCTCTTCCTACCTAGGTGGACGGTCCATTCAATGCTTGGTGGGCGGCCAAACCTCATCGCTGTACACCATATCAGCAAGAGTTCCCCAAGGGAGCATACTCGGCCCAACACTCTTCCTGATTTACGTGAACGACGCCTCAGAGGCCCTCTCACCTGGAGCCCACCTGGAGGCGTACGCCGACGATGACGCAGCATTGAACCTCCAGACCTGTCCCAAGCCCTGACCGCCACTCTCCACAGAGCCCCCATCAATTTGCCTCGCATTGTCTGCGGCGGCACTCCTGTCCTTGAGGCTCTCTCTTTACTTGGAGTGACCTTTGATTCGAAGCTGTCATTCAGCACTCATCTCCGGAAGGTTGCGGCTCGAGCCAAGGAGTATGCCCCCTCATCTAGATAGGTGCTCCGCCCAGGTACCTGCAACGCCTGGATCATATCCAACGCTGTGCTCTGCAAATCATCGGTCCAGGTGCACTATTACCTAGCCTGGCCATCCGCGGTTTACTGTTGCCTCACTTGCCTGCCAATGCAAGCTGCATTACCTGCCTGGCCATCCGCAGCTGCTCTCTGTTTTGCCACCGCGCCATTTCCCCTCATCCAGCCCCTCATCCAGCCCCAGAACTCGCCGCGAGCATAGTAGTGGCATTGGCCATGACTACCAGCTCCAACACCAGCTGCTTGCATCTGTCCCACTGGCATTGAAGCGCTCGTTCCCGCACTGCAGTATTAGTGACTGGAACTCCCTCCCCGCCGCTCTTCTGTCCCAGCCTCCCCACAGCAAGGGAATGCAAGCATTCAAAACGAACGTTTATCGCCATCTGGAAGCACAAACTGGCTCTGGACAGTCGACTCGCTATGATTCTGCTCTCGGCTAGCCCTATCTATGCACCACAACTGGCTAGGACAATCGATTCGCCATGATCAGCCATGATGATGCTCCTCTCAGTCTCAACCCTTGTAATTGTTAATAATAGTCTCACAGTTTCTCTCGCACACTCGCTGGTGTTAACCCTTCCTTTCTTTTCACTTTGCTGAGTCGCGTGTTTTTGGCCGTGATGCCGAGACCTCAGGTCGGCAGAGCCATCAATGCCCCACCATCACCATGATCACTGCTGCGTCTCGGTCCAGCCCCTGCTCAATAGTTGTCACGTTCGTCCTGGCCTAGTCTCGGTACCATTGTCTTTCTTTATTATTTTCGAGCTTGGAATGTGAATAAAGTAAAAAATAATATTATATTTTTAAAAACATACTGACTTCCGTACCTGCTGGATTATGTGGTTGACACGAGGCTCCCAGGCCAGGAGAGTAGACCATCTACCATGACACCCTGGTACCGTGCTTGTTGCACAACTGCAAGAGCTGCATTCCCACAACAAATTTGTAGGTCACCTGTGGCGGGGGCTGGGCCTCTTGGGGTGATAAGCAGCGCCTGCTTCGATTGCCCGCAAATTCCTGGTTTGTGACCTGCTGGGGCAGGCAGCACCGAAGGTTATGCATGTTTCTTTTGTTTCTTTTTCTACAAAGAACACAAACCCGGCTCGAGGCAAAAAATAATAACAAGAAAGATAACAAAGTTGCATGCAGGGAGAACGAAGAAACGACTAGAACACAGAAGTTGAGGGTTGACAGAACAAACAACTATAGAGTCGGGGCTGACCACTAGTATCCACTAGCGCAGCTGTGTAGGTGGGGCGTTGTGGGCTCCTGCGACCAAAGGTCTCGGTATCCTTGCACACATCGCGCACCAGGGGGTTAAACAATGTGCCAGTGTGAACAGAAGGAGCAGGGCCTGCTGGAGAGCCGGGTCAGCCGGGTCACGCGCCCGGCTGGGGAACTGCACGACCTGGCTGAACAGATAACACCGGGTCCAGTCTGACCCGGCTGAAAAATGTCTCAAACCAAGAGTCCATAATTATGGACTCTTGCTCAAACTGACAATGGATTCCTAAAATACCGGTATTTTACGACTCGCGGACCCCATCTGTTGCAAATCTAGCACAACCGTAGATCTACACACTACAGTCTACAAGCGACAGAAACTACGGGCAAAACATAAAATAAAGACAATCAATGATTAGATCGAGTGCACGTGGTGATGATCATGTACAATGTCATTAATGACACTTGACAGATAATAATAATAATGTAAGCCTCAAGCTGAGATTCTTGCTTCAGCAACAACAAGCGCTGCCGAGTCTGAGGCCATTGCTGGTAAGAATGCCTTGCGTGCACCACGCAAGCACATCAGCGCTGAACGGACCAGTGCAAAGCCAATCTGGCAGCGGATGGCAGCTAGGGTGATGCTGTATGGCTCCCCAGTCTTGGCAGCGAGGAGAGAGGCGATGCGTTTGTAGAGCGAAGCACCATGCTTTCCCATGCCTCCGGTGGTAGAGAAGACAGAAACTCGGCTACAAGGGTCAACCAGGTCAACTGGGGTCAACTGGTTCGAGCGCGATTTGGCCAGCGGCGAGCAGGAAGTCAGGACATTCAAAGACGTCGATGGCCATATGGGCCATGGCATGGGGCAGGCAGTCAAAAGCGTTACTTTTGGCTACAGCTTTTGACACAGTTGCAAGTTTTCAGCCGACTGGTGATTTGGACGATGGAGCCCGCAGCGAAGAGAAAAAAAACTGACGCTTTCCAAGACTCTTGGAAGAAAGGTCGACCCTGGCTGGACTACGACCATGCCAGTCTATAGTTTGCCTTGTTCTCTAAAATTTCCGATTTCCGGTAATAAATTCGCCTTTCTGTTTTCCTGCGTTTTGAGCAGGCTTTTTGGTTGTTTTTCTGCCGGATGATCTGACCCGGCTTGACCCGGCTGGCCTGCATGCGCCAGGTAGATCTACACTCTGACCGGGCTGTGTTGAATGTCTAGAGCAGGCCCTGAGGAGCCGAGGACGGATCCTCCGGCACCGCTCGACTGCATGCTACTTATTCCGAGCAAGAAACTACGTTAGTTCCGCCGATAACTACGCGTTGCGACCGCTCACTAAGGTAACTAGTGAACCATAGCCTCATAGGCATAGACCGCCAACCCCAATGTCTGATAGTGTCTCCTGTGCCAAGAATGCCTGAATGGTGTGTTTGAGTCAATGACACAGTCGAAAGCCTTCGACATGTCCACGAATATCACACCCGACGAATATCACAACTGTGACTTTGCGCTCATACAGTATTACTTCGCTCTGAGCCCGCGAGTGACAGCTAGCACACGAGAAGAGCGTTCTCCGGACCGTAGACTACTGACTGCGGTTCTTCATGTACGCGAACTGCGAGTCAGGGAGGGTACGCTTTCCAACGGCCAAAGAGAGTTGGAAAGCTTGTGTCTTTGTGGGTGAACATTTGGGGCTCATGTAAAATCGCACTGATTTTGGGATTTCCCTGCAACTTTTTGCTTCAGCAAAAATGTTGTGCTTGACCGCATTCCTGTCACTTCGCAGTGGCTTTTCGTTGGTGCAGTTTGTATCCCACCCTCCCACCCCTGACTTCTGGGTGTGTGTTTATCGATATAATCTTATCGGCTTTCTTATTGGCCATGTGGCTGTGGCAGTTACGACTGCTTTTCTTTTTTAGTTTAAAAACGTAGGGGTGGTGTGTGCGTCGCGGGCCTTTGTATGGTTACGTACAGCTTCAGATTGTATAGCTAGTGCCAGGGGAGTTCAATTGAATCTGCATGGGAAGAATACTACTGTATTGTGATTGAACTGAAGCTGGATGATGACCGTGTGGTGAGTGTGTGGGTTTTTTTTTTCAAGATACCGTCCTGGGGCAGGGATGTAGGTCCTTTAGCTTGGACGGGTGTTGTTACATTCATTGTAACATCTTGTCGTTTCTGTGTGCTTTGCTGTGCGACTAGCAGCAGTATCTTGTGCTTATTTTTCTTATCTCTAATATAGTCTATGCATCCAATTATTTAAAAAAAAAAAAAATCAGGAAGAGGATATAATATCAATAAATAAAGCCATTGCCGAGCCACCGTGCTCACAGCAGAGACTTCTGTGTGTGTTATTGTCGTGAAAGTGGACCACAAAGACGATGCTGTGACCTAGTACATGTAGTAGTACTAGTAGTAGTAGATCTACTGCTACTACTACATGACGTCATTGTAGTACTGTAGTCTGTAGTCTGTAGAAGCCAATCTGGCCTACTAAGTACTTCAGTACTTGTACAAGCAAGGATTGCAATACGAAATTGACTAGGTGAAGCAGCGAGGCGGAACGGTGCCGGAATTGAGTTCTAGTGGTCAGAGGCTAAAAAAATGAAAGAGAATAGACTGATTAACCGAATCGAGAGGAAGCTCGTGGCAGTCCCAGATCCCTGGCATTGTGCAGGTGCTGCTTTGAACCCCAGTCGTAGAACTAGCACGAAGGCAGAAAAGGCGGAAGATACGTGCGGGAGAATCATGCTCATGATAATTATTATTGTCGCAGACTACTATAAGATCTTTCCACACCATTTCTAGAGCAGCAAAGCCTGCGTATCATGCGCCTTGTCCCAGCTAATACGTATCACCTAAGTCCTTCGTCCGTTATCACCAGCTACAAGGACTCCCTGTACTGGCTGTCAAATGAGTATGAACTATGAACTATGATCATCCATCTCCTCCTAGTCCTAGTCCTAGTCCTAGAATAGAATAATGTGGCCCTGGACATGGCACACTTCGAGTGATTATGTTCTATGACTCACCAGTTTTTTTCAAACATCTCGGTTTTTTCAGGGCGGTTGCACGGCAACACTAATACCGCCGTATTGAGTTTCGTGCCCCTCGACATAACGCATAATACATGTACTACACATGGTATAGGATAGGACATGGAAGACTTTCGAGAATGTGTCGCTCTTCGTCAGTTCTGTCAACGCCATGACACACATGTTTCAGGTACTCGACAACTGGTGTCAGAATCTGCAGGAGTTTGCCGGGCCAGAGTGTGTCCAAGCGCTCGCTCTGACAGCGGAGCCTCATTACCCTCTGATGGCGGTGAGGTTGAATGACAATAATTATGCAATATCTTCTGCAGATACGTATCAAAGAAGCCAATCTAAAATTTACCATGTTCACCCTTGGTGCCAGTTTGTTGACGCACTATGAAATTATTATGATTGTATCTGTTTAACATGACAGAGAATGATGATTGTAAGTTGAACTGAGCGTGCCTTCCAAGACCGCTGACTCAAAACTACCGACGGTTGTCATCACCAAACGCAGCTTCCACCCGTCGCTCGCCGGCACTGCGGCGAGCCGCTTTGCCTTGCCCCTGACGTCGAGACTATGAATGTGATAGAGGGTTTGGCGAAAAGGTGGCAAGATCACGGAGCTAGCGTCCGGCCGGGACATTCTAAATGCAGTATAAATTCACGAGGTCTTCCCAATCATTAGCGAAGAAAGTCATCAGTCTCCCTTGGAATTGAAGTCGGCAAAAATTACCTCAGCAATCGCTCTCCGTAGACCTGCGCGGAAGTGTACTTTGAAAGCAGTGGAATAGTAAAAGGAGGTGAGTTGCGTTTCAGTGTTCTGCATTACCTCAGGCTCTCTAGAAAAAATGAGCATAACAATGAAATCTGTCTAAGACGACCGCTCAAGCCGGGCTCTTCCAAATGTGGTCTCCTTATCCAGGGTCGTTTGCCTGGAAATACCGTAAAATTCCGTTAATAAGCCCCGGGCGTATACTTTGCAGAGCGTCAAAAACCGGGCGTATATTTGGGCATGGGCTTATTTTAGGGCATGGGCGTTATTTCGGACGCAATCTGCAGAAGATCAATCTATCATCAACCCACTAGTTTCAGTGAACCACCATTCACACTGAGCGCGGTACAGGTACATCAAACCACAGCTGGAAATTTGGTCGTAACCAAGAATGTAGCGATAAATTACAGATTTGATAGGTAAACCACTTGTCCACTTTACGCCCTGGGCTTATTTCGGGCATGGGCGCTAAAACGGACTTGAAGTGTACACCGCCTAAAACTGGGCTTATTATCGGACATGGGCGTTATTTAGGGTGGGCTTATTTACGGAATTTTACGGTATTATCCCTTGGTCCAGTTGAAGTGGTCTTCTGGGACAGGTGGTCGCCTTAACCGAGTGGTCGCCTTGACAGGTTTTAATGTAACACGCTACACCATGTGCCAGTGTAGGAGGTACATGTCAATCGGGAGGGTAGGGTAGGGTAAGGGGTGGGGGTACGTAGGCTCTACTAGCAGCATAGGACTTGAGAGTGCTACATCACCTGAGTCAGGCTGTAGTCGTGACCGTGCCGACATGTTGGGTATACACACGTTTGGTACGCTTTCCAACGGCCAACGAGACTCGGAAATCTTGTGCTTTTCTCGAGCCAGTGCTCTCGGCAAAGACTTCTGTGTGTGTTGTTGTTACCCGGGGAATGCCAGGATCACAGCGACAGATGGTTTCCTTCATATTGGGATGACACCTACGGTAGCGACAGGACACTGGGCCCTCATTGCACGGCATCACTGCAGTAAACAAAAAAAAACAAGTCACACCAGGATGCGATATGCGGAGGCCTACCCACCACATACAGATACCGTACTTCGCTATGGTCACAGTGCATGAAATAATTCGGTCCAGATGTCGTTATTTTATTGACGTCTGGCATCATCACTTTCAAGCCCTTTTGTTCTACAGTTGGTGGCAAAGGATATCTGACCTGTGCATTGATATGTGTTGTGTTGTGCTGTGTTGTGTCCCCGTTCTGTACAGGTACAGGTACTCTACACACTCACACTGTCTTGCACTGATCTGCAGCCTGGCAGGATGGTGTTGGACAACCGTCATGTTCTCATTGGTATGCTACTTGCAGTACTGGTAAAACAAGGGAGCAGTCAACTTGGTAGCGGTGATAAAGATAATTATGTACCTGGTACTGTACTTCCGCTTGGATATGGTAGCGGAGGTCCTTTTCAACCTGATAAAGATATTGTCCCAGACCTTGATGGTGAGTTATCTCATTTTGATTTGAAGCAGGTCCAAGTACACTGCAGCATTTATTGGTGTACTAATTAGCGGATCCATACCGTCTGTTGGGTTTGAAACTTCAAATAAAACTGCAACCGACCAATCAAATATTTTTACTTTCCATAGGGAAAGATGCACTCCCGAATGAGTCATAACATAAACTAGTCAATTCTCTTCATACCCCCCCCCCTCCCCTCACACACACACACACACACACACACACACACACACACACACACACACACACACTCACACACACACAAATGCCTCGGGCCCGCTGCATTGTTTATTATGTATCGGAATGGTTTCTAATGAGTGCAACGCGACACATGCTGTTAGTTATCTGTACTCTACCAATTCAAGAGTCGTTAATATTGCATGATGTGCTCTGCACGCAATGAACATTGGCATGCTCCAATTGATCCTTTATATTGTCCTCAGCAACACACCCACCTGAAGCGGTTGTTACCTCGTCCTCAACAACGAACCCACCTGAACTAGTTGATTCCGCCAAGTGCAATGAGACATTCAACTTTGAAAATGGCGTCTATGAAGTAACAACTGTCACAGGGTCAATCTTTCCTCCCTATACTCAGGTATGTTGGTACACATCGCCTGCCACTTGAATTGGTGGCAACAAAATATCATGACTGTGACGATGTAATCCCGCATGTGATGATGTAATCCTGAAATGTGCGGTGATGTAATCCCTACAAGACTACTCTAAGTCTTTATATCTACATTGTATGCACCTGAAGCTGCTACTTCGAAATATACCCCTCTTTAACCTGCCAGAAGGTGCATGTATTGGGTAGTGGCACTACAGAACACTGCATGTTGTTGTAGGGGTTGAGGAACTAAATCAAATTTCAAGTCGAAATGCCACCCTGTCATGGTGGACTGTTCCTGTCGTTGTGTGATGGACTGTCCCTGCCTTGGTCATGATGATGGACTGTTCTTGGTATACATGTAATATAAATATACATGTAGTCCTACCCAGGTAAACTGAGCGCCGTTACCTTTGTATTTTGTATTTATATCATTATCTCATGGCACATCATGATGACGGCCAATAAAACTGAGACAAGGGTGAAAGCCAACCACAGCAGTAAAACAGATAAAAGAATACAAATAAGAGGCAAAGAAGGCAAAGGAGGAGACAAATCAGCAGGATATACATGAAACCTATAATTGAGCAGAGATTTTAGCAACAAAATTATCCATCGACGTGCTGGTCTTGGCCTGCGTTGGTAATGTTGCCCAAAACACATGCCCCTGAATACTTCAATCATCAGATTTCGGATTGTTTGTTTGTGTCTGTGTTTGTTTATGTTCGTGTTTGATGTTGGTGTCAGTGTATGTGTGTGTGTGTGTGTGTGTGTGTGTGTGTGTGTGTATGTGCATATGTATGTGTGTGTGTTGCTGTGTACATGGTGTGTGTGTGTGTGTGTATGTGTGTGTGTTGCTGTGTATGTGTGTGTGTGTGTATGTGTGTGTGTGTTGGGGAGGGGGGGGGGGGGTTGTTCTGTTCTGTCTCTCCAACTTTCCCTAGGCCACATTCCGGTGCAATTTACGATTTAAACTTGTTGGAGCGTCTGAACTGGTGTGCAATGAGAATGCATCTCCCTCGCCTCAGTGGTCTGAAGCAACGCCAATTTGCCAACGTACGTTTCCCTTTGTTCACCGGATATTTTCTACTGCCGTAGAGTAAATTGTGTGTCCTCCTCTTGTTGTTGTGCTGTATGTTGCATCGCGGGAACGTCACTCTGCCAAACAACAGCCTTCCAATTCAACTTAACAAGCGCGGCAATAATTTAAAAAGGCCCGCGTTTATGTGGAGGATAAACTCTTCTCTGTGTTGTGTTTGTATGGCAGAATTCCTGTGTCTACGTCCACCAGTCATAGAGGCGAGTATTGTAAGACGGATAGGTGGATACTACCCCGGAGACATGGTAAGCTTTGGATTCCAATTGAAGGGAGCCTCACTGGCAGCGGGGATTGCAGGGTTCAGAGGGACTGCATGCAGTTTGGGCCCATAGCGTCTGGAGCACTTCAGTGTTCTGTTCACCCAAGTTGGTTGCTCCTACGTGGAGCTTATGCTTCCTCCCACCTTAGGCTGCTACTAGTACTTGACTGACTCACCATAGGTCTACAGGAGGCGTGAGCTCCACGTTGGAGCAGGGGTGTCGCACCCAGTGCGGCAGGTGCGGCCAAAGCCGCTCCAATAATTTTAGGATTTTGTTCTGTGATTTTCGAAGCAATGAAACATGGGCTATTCGGCCCCAATTTGGGCCCAATTTACCAAACAAAACCCGCGGGACCTGCTGCCTTTCATAGCCACGCCAATTTAAAGTGGCTTGCGATGCCCATGACGACCTGAGGAGTAACCGACTTTGTCAATTACTACTGCTGAAGTCACCACTTATAAATTCTGCTTGCTATAGTATTCTGTGTGCGCAATGTATGGATTGCGCAGAGAGATGTTGTGTACGACAAAGCAGGTGTTTGCTCAGCCGCGCATCAGTAGACCAACCATTCTACCCTGCGGAATGTGTGCAGATGTCATTCTATTCAAAGCCTTCAACGTGAATGGTGCATCATGCAGCATTATAAAATACCGTACTCGCGCGATTAGAGCCCTCTCTTGAATAGTGCCCTATCTCGAATAGTGCCCTAGTCTCCAAGAGCCAGTGAAAAATAAAGCCCTCTCTTGAATAGTGCCCCCCCCCCCCTGTCTTGTAACCAAGCTCATGTGCAAGTTTGGTGTTCTTTTGCTAATGTTCTTGGCCACTGATTTGCACTGGTGTTTTCAGGAACAAAAATCGCAAGTCTTGTTCCCGTTTCTGTGGAGTCGTGAGCGTTTACAGTACACTTTAGGCTCTGCTTTTCTTTGTTTTATGCTGGATGATGTAAATGTACCAGCAATGAAAAAATAGTGCCCTCTCTTGAATAGTGCCCTCTCTTGAATACTGCCCCATCTGTGATGGACATTGGAAAAAAACCCGGCTAGGTCTAGAGTATCACTTTGTTGTTGGACTCAGTTTTCACGGAAACAAATTGTACACTTTGTGTACAGTGTTTATGAATTGTTCGGTTTGTGTCTGCCTGTTTTTTATGCATCACTATACCTTCCGCTACACTACCATGCGCCTGTGCATGCAGGCAACATACCGTTGTAACACAGGCTTTTGGGCAGATGGACCAGTTACTTTAACCTGCCGTGACGGGACGTTTGATTGGTTTCCTTCGCCACCGGTCTGCAAGCGTAAGGCACACACCTCGCAACAAGTGCATTCTTTCTTTTGCTCGGCCAATTATTAGTTTCCAGGCCTGGGAGGACATGACCGTCTTTCTCAACACTCGACGACTTAAACACGTTACTCCTGGCCATGTGTCTGCTTCTAGCCACCACAAGAGTACGATTTCTGACTTTTTCAGTCAGGGTGTTCAAGAAGAGAGTTGTGGTCCTACTTCAAAGTAATACCAGAAAGCTAGAATGTTCAAGTGTTGCGCATATTGAATGTATCCCTTCAATTAACTTCACCAATTCGGACACTCCCAGTTTTGTGTTTCTTGTGCTAATGTTTTGTGCAAGGCTGTAGTAACTGAAAGCGATGTTGCAGAACTCCAGTGTATCCGCAGTGTTGTACGCACACCTAGCTAAGTTCATCTGCACACACGCTCCACAGCTGTATTACATGTGATGAATCAGATTGTATGATTGATGTTGTCTGCACTCTGCACTGTAGCCATCACCTGCCCCATACCACCTTCAATTCGTAACGGTGCGGTAACTTGGACACCGGGGCTGAGAATTGGTTCTACGGTGAGTAGCTACCATGGCTGCGGTGTAGATGTTCTGCGAATGACATCATTGCATGACATCATCGCATGCTCTGTCTCGTGCGCAACACCTCGGATGATGATAGTATTGCAGGACCTGGTCATCCTACCTGCAGAGGTTACTGTTTCATCCACTGACTTCTTTGCGCCTTTGCGGAGTCACGGTTGAGAGCAGCAAACTTCTGGCTTGAGAAATTACTTCTCACAGTTCTCAGTACACCCAGTTTGGCCACATACATCTGCGCTTTGAGGAGTCCACAAAGAGTGAAACCGGACAGATAGTACAGAGTACTGTCCGCAGATTGAGATTTTTAGACCACCAGCATGATATGTCCAAGCATCCTCCTCCAGATGACATCCTCAGTTTCCACGCAATGCCAGTGCCTCAATTCAGACGTGCACAGCTAGCTGGATCTTGGTGTGACATACCAATACGTGTAGATATGCATGAAGTAAAGTATAGTGGTGTCATTGACGTTCTCAGGTCCAATTTTTAAAGCCATCTAAGTGATACGTTTGGGAATACTAGTACGCTGACTGTATTGGAATGTTTTGTTCATTTCATGCAGGCCACCAGTGCAGCACTGGTATACCGGTATGCCTGCAGTGGGTACTACCCTGTTGCACTGGTGGCTTGCCATGCATCGGACCACCAGTGCAACAGCCGGTGGTATGCCTGACCATACCCTGCTGCACTGGTGGCTTGCCATGCATCGGACCACCAGTGCAGCAGCCGGTGGTATGCCTGACCATACCCTGCTGCACTGGTGGCTTGCCATGCATCGGACCACCAGTGCAACAGCCGGTGGTATGCCTGACCATACCCTGCTGCACTGGTGGCTTGCCATGCATCGGACCACCAGTGCAACAGCCGGTGGTATGCCTGGCCATACCCTGCTGCACTGGTGACTTGCTGGCCTAGTGTCAGTAGGATGAGAGTGAGGGCAAATCTCACACACCAATGCCCGACTAACAAGGGCCTAAACAGTGTTGGCTTCATCTGGGTATGTTCCATGGCATACAGGGCATATGAGTGAAGTTGGCAAACATCAGTGATATCATTAGTGGATTGCGGCACATCGATTTTGTGCTGCTCCTGAAAAGGAGTGATTCCCCTTTGTTCAATTGTACAAGTAAGGTTTGAACACCACCATGATTATCGTTTGCTCTGTTGGCACTACAGGTGGCATGGACGTGTGATAAGCCTTATATCTTGGTTGGAAGTCCAAGTGCATTCTGCACGGCTGGCGGTGAATGGACCACAGATCGACCACCCACATGTGAACGTAAGTTCAAACGACCCACGTGCCCTTTGCTAGGTTAGGACCAATCAACAGCCTCGGAGAGCGGGCTTTGATATTCCATCAAAGCCCGCTGTCATTGGCAACCTGTACGAGAAAACCATCAAAGCCCGCTGCCATTGGCAACTGTACGACAAAACCATCAAAGCCCTGATCATGCCCAATCTCAGTCTTTTCAAGGTGATCTGGCTATAAGAACAAGAAACCGATAGGGGTGGTGGTCGGGGATGCGGTGGCTCTCAACTTGTGGAGTTGGAAATCTACCTCCAGCACCGCAGAACTCTCAGCAGTATGCAGCGTGAGCAAGGTGTGTATGGTCGAAGTGAAAATACTGCACTCCTCAGCCACGTCTGGCTCTTGCCACGTATTCCTGAGAAATTTCTCACGAAACAGGTTTTTCGTCCACTGACATGAGTTTCCCTTTCCGGTAATCTCTGTGTGAAACTTACGAACGGGACGAAAACGACATGCACTTTAGAATCCCAAACGAAAGGCCGACATTGTCCACACACGAGATCACCCAAAGAATAAAGCGATTGAATTCAAAATCCAAAAAAATGTTGAGATCGTCTGAAGTATATTCAAGCGAGGTACAGTCGGGCTTGATGACTGATCAAAGCTTCGGGCCCAGCCCTCGGACCTACGGCCCTCGGGTTGGTCCCTTGGGCTTTGATCAGCCATCAAGCCCTCTGTACCTTGCTTGATTATCTACGTACTTTGAAAGAAGTGTATGTACTACCATAATGTAGATAAGCCATGTCAAGTCAATCTGCCGACAATTCTGCCAAACCTGGAAGCAACAAGACGAAAATTAATGTACATATCTTATTACAAGAACGTCAAGCCTGCCGCTCTTCTTCTTTGATTGCGGTGATACGCTGAACATGGGGTCTGGCAATTTTGAAGTATATTGTGAGAGCCTTGATTTTACAGCCAGAGTAAGGAAAATTGCATGGCAGAGTGCAACTCAGTTTGTACGGTGTGAGAACCATAGTGTAGTAATTAGGTCATGCTTAGCATGTTCATGTGTGGATCTCGCATCCGCTCTTCAAGATCAACTGAGTACGAGGATGTATGGACTGAAATGACTTCACAGAGTGCCGCATTGTATGTACAAGGTACGCATTGTATGACCTACACACAGGACCCTACCTCCGAAATACGACCCCGAAAGGGAAGTGGCGGTGGTTATGGTGGTGGTGGTGGTGGTGGTGGTGGCGGTGGTGGTGGTGGCGGCGGCGGTGGCGGCGGCGGCGGCGGCGGCGGCGGCGGGGGTGGTGGTGGTGGTGGTGGTGGTGGTGGTGGTGGTGGTGGTGGTGGTGATGGTGATGGTAGTGGTGGTCGTGGTAGTGGTGGTGGTGGTGATGATGGTGGTGGTGGTGGTAGTGACTGCTGTCGCTCCTGTGGTACTAACTTTATGACACATCACTGTCTTCGTGGAGGTTTATTGCAACAAAATGCTGTAAATCCAACCTTCTTGCATCAGAGATATATGCACCCGGTAGCACACAGTGTTGGGTGCAACAGGCAGGCGTTGTGCAGAAGGTACTGTAATCACGCATGATCTGCCTGTAAGGTCGTGCAACCCAAGGCTACAACTCTTTGGCACCTGACAAGCGTAATGTGATGCTTGGATTTCACTGCAACACAATTCAACAAACACACACACACACCTTTGGACCTTTGGAAAGCCCATCGCCGAAGGCGATGATAGCTATTAGGCGAGGCAGTAGTTCTTGTACACACACACACACACACACACACACACACACACACACACACACACACTTGCCTAATCCAAATCATGCTCTTGTTTTGAGCCATACCAAAATATTGCTATCTATGCCCATCACGCAATTATTATTCTAAAAGGTTAATGAAGGTAGATGCTCCAAACAATGGAGCTCACTCTTCCTGGTGACTGACGTGACACATGGCTAATTCACAACTGCCGTCCCGAGAACACAAGAAGCATGTCGAGCCTTCAACTCAACAAACGCCCGATAAAGTGCCACTCCCTCAGCACATAGGAGTACTACTGCTTAAGTCGCAACATCTTAGTTGTTTTAAACGACAACAGAATTAAAACCACCACATCGTATTGGCCACAGGCCATCGTGAGAATAAAAAGGATAGGGATTTGAAACAACAACAACGACGACCAAGATGACGACCACAACAACAATAACAACAACAACAACAACAACAACAACAACAACAACAACAACAACAACAACAACAACAACAACAACAACAGCAACAACAACAACAACAATAACAACAACAACAAGTGAGAATAAAGATTTGAAACAACAAAAACAACAACAACAACAACAACAACAACAACAACAACAACAACAACAACAACAACAACAGTAGCAACAGTAGCAGCAACAACACATTGCTGCTTCAATTCTCGTTTTGTCTGTTTATCTATTGTTATGCACAGCTAAGTGCTACGACACGGTGCCTAGGGATTTCTATGAGCGACCTCCAGCAACCTCCACAAGCAGCCCTGAACCCGCCTGTGGTCCGTCTGCTGCTGATATCATTGTTATTGTGGATGAGTCAGACAGTATGGCGTCTGTGCAAAAAGCCTGGTTTCGTGAAACCATAAAATACCTTGAAGATTCTTTACGAAAACATGGAATTGGAGTCTACCCCGATATCCCCAACCAGTATAGCTTGGTTGGCTTTGGCCGGTCCCATTTCCCCAATGACAGACATCCTGTTGCCCGGCCGCGGGTAATCCTGGATTCTAGCGGAAACCGAGTGTATGGAGTGGATGGATTTGAAGAAGCCTGCGCTGCATTGCAGGCTTCTGGGTCACGAGAGGATGGCTACAACTCCATCAGGTTTGCCCTGGAGGATATTCCGGAGCTGCGTTTGCGCCAAGCTAGCGTTGCCCCAATCGTCATTCTGGTCACTGATGAGGATAGGGATCGTCACAGAGATGCTACTTCTCTGACAAGGAGCGGCTTGAAGCAATTGATCCGGAAAAGTGGAGCACAGTTGGAGTGTATTGTGGACAACTCTTTCCTGATGAATGGCCGTGAAGGGTATGGCATGGATGCTGGTGGTGTGGTTTACAGAAGCAGTCGCTTTGTGGGCCAGTTTGAGAAGGTACTCGTGACAGGTAACCCTCGCCGTGTGACTGGCTATCACCGTAGAAACGTCCGCCGGGATTACACTCATGTGGCACTGGAGCTTGGTGGTGCTGCATGGGACCTGAAGAAGCTACTGCTGGATGATGTCCCAGATTATGGATCCGTTCAGGCGTTTGTGAACCGGACAGTGGAGATGGTGGAGCACCGTGTTCACAAGTGCTGCACATGCCGGTGTACAGCAGTAGATCATCTGGGCAGGGAGAGAGAGCCCAGCAGCAGTACACCAGCATACCTGAGCTGCCAGGCTGCTGCAACAGCTGCAGACTGCATTCAGGGACGCATGCCCAATGCCTTTCGAACACGGACCTGAAGTTATTGGGTTGCAGCAATTCTCAAGTATAGCTCTCTCTCTCTCTCTCACACACACACACACACACACACACACACACACATGCGCGCGCATACGCAAGTAAGAGAGTATAGTGTCCTACCCTGCTTGGACATAATTTCTCCTCAGAGACAGTCTCCTCCTGAATTTAAAAGTCTAACAGTGTTCACACAAATACTCAACTTATTCGTCTGCTAACTGAGCAATACATTCTTTCCATTTTTTCTGTTTTCTTTATCAACTTAATCCTCCCTACCTGATCTGCCTTTGGTGCGTCCATGGAGCTATGATTGTAGAAAAACACACACATACATCTATACACCCGATGCTGTAGATAGCAAGATGTTTCGGCCATAACGGCCTCATCAGTACCACAGCTCTATCTCTTTGTCTGTCAAATCCTATATATCTATATATAGGATTTTCCCAATTTTTGGGAAAGGGTAGATCATACCTTACAAAGTAAAGTTCTTTCTTCGAAACCTGTTGGAGTCTGCATTCCGTGTTTATCAGAGATGATGCCTGCCAAGTTTCACCAGTACAAGGGCTTTACTTTTTCTGTAACAAGCCTTCGCGTGCAAAGGTGTCCAGGTGGCCTCTTCAAAAATTGGCTTTGTTCTTCCCAGTTTCCCCTGCCAATAAAAACCATAGTTGGCAATATCCAAGCCTAGATATAGCCCATATGGAGCTAACAAAAACATTCTATGCATCTATGGCTAAAGAAGAAGCACCTCCTAGGCTAGTACCAAAAGAGTATTCCACTATTAATATGTGTACATACTTGAACACAACTGATTTAGTAAATGCCCCAAACATGTAGTGTCTTTAGTTCATATTGATCTGCGAGCACTTTACAACACTACTTCAATGCTAGGATGGTGCTAATATTCATCTATTTCACTCCTAGTACCTTTCCTGGGGGTCTTAGCCAGTGAGTAACCTCTATTCATGCATTTTAAATACAGAGAGGCATTGTGGGAAAGATCAAAATGCATCTTCAATAACATTACTTCCCCTTCGACCATTTTCGAGGCTGCAAATGCGTCTTGAAGTCTAATATTATAATGGGATTGACTGGTGACAGACAAAGAAATAACCTTGGTGATTCAATTCCTGAGCAAACTGTTCAGTCAATACTAATTTTTATCTGCGATAATTTCGAAGCTACCAAATGCATCTACATGATTGTACATCTAGTGCATCTAATGTAGCAGTCATGACGTCAGTGTTGCTGCTGCTGCTGCTCTGCCACCACCGCTGCTGCAGTTGACAGTCACGGTGTCTGCTCGGCTGGTTGTATTCTCGCCATGGCCTGTACGTGACCCCAAAGAGAGTTGAGCTGTGCCATTGCTGCTGCGGCTACTGCGGCTGCTGTTGTTGTTGTGACGTTGTTATAGCAGAGGCATCATGTCCTTGCCTCATTGCCTGCCTCATCCTCTTCATGTGACCCCTCACAGTGGTGGGATCATGCTCCGCTATGCTCTGTCTATTTGCTTCAGGACATGCACCACCTATGTTTGAGCATTCCCAATGAACCGGCATCCCGTTTTACCAGAAGCATGCAACTATTACTTCAACGAAAAAATAAAGAGCTGCATAACAACAACGTTTCGTCAAGAGGTAGTAGTGTCCACGAGAGTGGAGAGGTAATCTTGAGGTGAATCTGTAATGTGTTGCGCGCGTGCCCAGCAGTCCTACTCTGCGAGCTCCCAGATACCATGGATACGCGCCTGGGTCTCTTGTCTTGATTCTCTGGACTTAGCAACTACATGACGATTGTATAATTATACTGCTTCGAGCGGCAGTTACATGTATACATGTATGTGCATCAGAGGAGCGAGATCGGCATATCATCCGCCCATCAACGCCTTGAGTTCCCTGGCAATGGTAGAAGGAAGGTTTTGACAATCTTTGTGATGGAGTTGGGCTGTCATTTTTCGCGTCTTTTATTGTTTGTTTTGTTGCAGGGTTATTTTGCTGTGTGACTCCGGAATTGTTAGTTCTCATCATCCAAATTGCCTACTTGCGTTTATTCCCGTAGCTATGCAAAAGAGGTTACTTCAGTAACGTCTGCCGCTAGCGAGGGTCCACACAGCTTTAATTCCGTGTTTGTTTGTGTGTTTGTGCCGTCGGCATGCCTGCCGCTATCTCGTACCGTACCATCAAAGACAGCTGGCCACAAATTGGCCCACAATACAACAATATATTCAAATAGGGCTTTCAAAATGCAAGATCATAACGTGAAGCAACTACTTGGAAGAATGAGTATGTATGCGAAGTGTATCGGGGGAATGCATGCAGGACGATAGTGCGGGTTCGAATCCTAGGTTTAATGTCTGAAAAATAGGAGAATATAAAAATTTATAACATCCCTGTGCTTTATTTGCCTAGGTCATCAAGGTGGTAGATAGGGTCCAGCGGATAATGCCGGCATTATATACGGCATTATGAGACTATCAGAGCATTATTTATGGAGCATTAGAAAGGACCAAGACGAGCATCATGTGAGGTTTGAGCAGCATAACGAGTTTCATAGTGGATAATGTCGGGAAATCTCAGGTTTTTGGCAACAATCGGCTAAAGCCATGAGGTGCAACGCCATGTACCGTACCGGCACATGACTTTGTGATTTTGTAGACACGCAACACCTTAGTCCTTAGCACTAATGCTACATTTACCTGACTACATACATGTAATGCCATTGCTATTGTAAATTCTTTATGTAGCAATGTAGTCAGGTAAAAGTAAATGTACAGGTCATGTAGCATGCCCAACGTTGCAACTGAGGCTGTTACACAAAATCCGTAACGATGCTTTACGAGGAGTTCTTTTTTAGAAATCATGGAGAGCCATGGAGGAGACTAGACGTACGCGAAGTGAATATCAGACAGACGAAGAGGAGTTGTCCTGTTATGCCATGTATGCCCTGGCCATAGCATCTCTAGCTATGCTTCAGCAAACACTGATCCATTGATACATTTGGATCTGGATGAAGGAGCGGCTATACACAGAAAGCTTGTTCAAATAACTGGCTACTAATAACTGGCTTCGCCGAGTCCAGCTCAGCAGGCTCGAAAAGAACTCTCATGGACGCAGTACCAAGTCGATTTGAGTGCTCAGCAGCGCGTGTCTTACTTTCCTGGTGAAGCACGTACAGTTCGTCGTGGACGATTGTAATGCAACGCCCACAGTCAAGTGCTATCAGAAAAGAAGAGTATTAATATTGTGGCCAACCATTTGTCTCCACGTAACCGCAGGAGAAGAAGATAGCGCAAGGAGAGGATGCAGAGCGGCAAAATAACCGTTCCAACCATGTGTTTTCAGGATTTCCGCAAATGGGGCGGATCTCGATCTAGGTAGGTAGGTACATTTTTATTTGAATTCGCAGAACCAAACGGGCGGTGTCGCCCAATTACATGGAAGCGAATGGAAACAGTAAAATATTGTAGGAAATAGCCTAACATGATAGCAGGGTGTAGTACAAAGCAAAGAACGCTCAGTCAATGAATAACGACTAGAATTTTGAAATTTTCAATCGGCTCTCAAAGGGTTAACGTTAGAATACAACAACGGGGAGGCAGTAAACAGCACATGACTGGTACTGTGGAGTACCGCAAACGTTCAAAGATTCCTGTAGTGTTCAGTAGTAGGTGCTATTGCTAGCAAGACAGAACGGGAGGCAGGCTTGTTTGAACTGGTGGTACTGGGTAATACCACGCACGTCGGATGGCAGGGTGTTCCATAAAATGGACCCGCGAGCGGTTGGACGGTCGTGGCCGGCTTTGGAGGCAGATTTGGGCACTCGAAGGCCCAAGCTGCGTTGCGCGCGCGTTGTTCGAGTACTGGGATGCTCCAGAAGGGCTTACAGTGCATTGCTTGCCCGACCATTCGAGCAACGCCAGATCCTAATAAGGGTCTTTTGCTTGTGGAGCTCTTCGATGCCATACAGCTGCAGACGAGCAAGCAGAGGTTGGGCGCTTGTGCGAGGTGGCAGGCCGAATACGGCGCGTGCCGCACGGTTTTGCTGGACCTGAAGGCGGGACCGCTGGTCTTGTCGAAGGCACCCAGAGAACGCCACGGACCCGTAGAGAAAATCTGGCATCACAACGGATTTCACGTACTGCTCTCTGGACTTTCTTGTAAGGCAACGGCGGGCTCTCCAGAGTGCTCCCACCTTCTGCGAGGCCTTCTTCACAGCATTGTTAACGTGTTCGTCAAATCGAACGTGCGCGTCTATCGTGATGCCCAGGTACTTCGCATGGGGAACTGCTGGTAGCGGGTTTCCACGGCATTTGACAGTAATTGCTTGGCCGGAAATTCGCAGGACATGGCTTTTGCTAGTGTTCAGGATTAGATTCCGTTCCTGGAGGTGGTTAGCAATCTCGGTTGTAGACGTTGTTAGAACTCGCGATACTTCCTGGCAATCAGGGTGGCTGAACGTGAGAGCAATATCGTCAGCAAACTGCACTGAGATGGACGGACTGGCAATGGTGGGCACATGCCTGGTGTAGATGTTGAAAAGCACTGGTCCAAGAACGGAACCCTGCGGGACGCCACATGAGCATGTGCCACTGACACCAATGGATCCAGCGATTTGCACTTGTTGGGTGCGTCCTTCGAGGTAGTCTGCAAACCATTGGAGTGCAGTGCCGTGAAGGCCAACTTCGAAAAGATCGCGTACAAGAATGTCATGCTTGACTTTGTCGAAAGCCTTCGACATGTCCAGCAAACACACACCACTGGCTAGTCGCGCGTCCTTTGCATGGAGAATGTTCTCCGTCAGGAGTACCAAAGTGTCTTCAGTGCAGTGGTTTGTGCGGTATGCAAATTGCGTGGTCGGCAGCACGTCGTTTGCCGCGAGGAACCTTGTAAGCTGGCGATGTACTACCTTTTCAAGCAGCTTCGCAACAATTGGTAATAATGACACAGGTCTGTAGTTAGTGGCGACTGTTGGGTCCCCTGCTTTATAAAGCGGCTTTACCAGGGCGTGTTTGAACGGCTTCGGTAGGCGACCGGAATGCAAGGAGGCATTGAAGAGGTCGCATAAGTGCGGGGCAACAATATCACTGCAGGCTCGCAGCAGACGGCCAGGGATCTCGTCACTGCCTGTAGCCTTGTCAGGATCGATTGTGGCGAGTAATCGCTGTACTGCGGGACAGGTCGTTAGCGTGAGAGCTGATAGTGAGGTGCGGGTGCAGGGACCATGGGGTATCTGTAGGGTGTCCGGACGACTTGGATCAGTGACAATACTATTGAAGGAGCTGCTCACCGCAGAAACGTCGCACACTGGGTCCTGCCTTGCCTTGGAGCGGCCGGTTACCGCGTTCAAGGTTGACCACATTCTCCTTGGATCATGAGAGTGCTGCTCACATTGTCTGGTGAAAAAAGCGTTTCTTTTCTTGCGGATTGCGTTGGATGCCTGAAACCGGGCTGTTTTATACCGGGAGAGTAGGATGCCATTTCCTCTATCTCCTAGCCAGCGCTTGTGTAATCTGTTTTTCTTTTGCGTGAGTTGGTACGTATCCTTGTCGAGTCAAGGTAATCTCGCAGCAGCTCTCTGGCGTCTTGACGAGAGCATGATGGGTGCATGTATGTCTAGAACTGTTTTGAACCCTTCATAGAAAGCCGTCCACATGCCGTCAACATCCATGTGGGCGGATGTAGGATTAGCGCTGAGTGCTTCGGCGAGGTCACACCGGAACTGGTCGATATCAATGTTGCGTAAGTGGCGACGCTTTTGGCGTTGCCTACCTGGACTAGTTGTGGGTATGGCGATATGGAGGTTCGCCATCACCGCGTGGTGGTCGCTGATCGAACATTCCATGACAACGCAACTCGAGACAAAGTTATGGTCTGCTAGTACGAGGTCGATTACTGAACCATGACTCCCACTTGGAGTCGGCCGTGGGGGACTTCACCAAATTCGAGATGCCAAACATATTGCTGAGGTCTTGCAGGTGTGTACGATGGTGGCTGTGAGTTGTCATGTTGACGTTGAGATCGCCAATAATGGTCATGTGTGGCGCTTGCGCTTGGGCCCGCTGCAGTGACTCTTCAAGGTCCTTCCAGTAGTCAATCCCCACGTCTGGAGCTCGGTAGACGCAGGCCACTGCATGTTGACCCTGGCCGCCTTTGATCGATATCCAGACAGCTTCTAGGCCGTTCAAAGACAGTTCGGGACAAGGTCGGATTGGCAAAGAAGATTTGTAATATATACACGTACCTCCTCCTCGTCTACCCACGCGGTCTGTCCTTGTGAGGTTGTATCCAGGAATGGCTACTTCTCCGTCACCAATAGTGCTGTCTAGCCAGGTTTCAGCCAATCCAAAAATATCAAAGTCCTGCACCTGGAGGAGTGCTGTTACTTCATCTACTTTGTAGCGCAAGCTACAGACATTCAAAAAACCTAGCTTAAGAGTTCGGGTGTCCTGGGTGCTCACCGGAAAAAGGGAAGCGGGAGGCTGCATAGCAGCACGAGGCAAAAAGGGATCAGCATCTGAGATCGTCTTTCAGGAACTGGCCTCACGTGAGCTGTTTCAAATGAAGATATTTTTCACAGAGTGGAAGCGATGACAGCTTGTATTGTCTGCAGGCAGGAATACCACTTCCCATGATAAGCTTCCAGCATCCAAATGATGTTCTACCAATCTTGACCTACAACCTTACTTGCCATGGTCTGTCCCGTGCACAAGAAAAGCGCCTAGATGTGTTTCATAGGAAACAGTTGCGGTGTACCCTTGGAATTACCTACCCAGATGTTGGCATCAGTATTCCGAGTAAGATTTTCGTCGCTTGTGTGGTGTGTTTCTCTACCAATGAGCGCGTTCTATGATTATTTATCGCTGTTCTCACACTTTACCATTTTAGCAGCTTGCATATGCCATTGATATATGTGGAAAGCGCGCACTTGCGCCATTTCTGGTGTATAAGAATGATCATTCCTCCATTATCATCATTATCATCCTCTACTGATGAGCTCCGACAGGGAGCGAAACAGCTGTCTAGAGGCGTGGAGCAATATTATCTCTCAACGGAAGTGTCCTTGCTGGTGTCTGTATGGTTCGGCTGAAGAGCGCGTGGTTGTGATGAGTTGGGAATGCAATGAATTGAAAATATGGCCGAAAGCTCTGTCGCAATATTTAGTTCTTAAGATGTCATCTCGAATGCAGATTTATATGCTGATACTGGCCAGTGCTCTGTATCTGAAATGGCCAAGCGGGACAGGTGGAAGCTATTAGGACATATATTACGCCAGCCAAGTGACATCCCTGCAAATGTTGCTCTCACTGCTTTCTGTACATATGCTACCAGTCAGCCCTTTCGAATAGGTGCACCCTGCTCTTGGCTCACCACAAGTCTCCAGCGAGACGTCCGCCTCACACCTATCTGCATTTTTAGGCCCAGCTGCCTTCGTGATCTCGGCACCTATGCCCGCGACAGAAAACAATGGAGTACCGGTAACATCTGCTCAGCCATTTAGTCTAGTACTGCTCTTCTTAAATTTGACCTTTATTACAAGACTCTTCTTTTCTTTTTCATTTCGTTCTCCCACTCACACACACACATGCTCACAGTTAATTCTGCCGCCGTGAGTCCCATTCGGGACGGATACGAGAAAAAATAATAATAATAATAATAATCCAAATGATCACCAGCAATAATGGTTTCACCTCTCACTACATGGATAAGCAAGGGAAAAGATTTGATACACCCACTGTTCAGGCACAGCCCTGCATCAAAGTTGCAATGGAGAGCAGCCAATGGAGACGCAATCATGTACATGTATCATAGTGCTAAGAAGTGGTGGAGCTCGTGAGAGATATTGTAGAAGCTTCAGAGGCAGATAATGCATCCTTTCCTGGAAGTTTGATAATGTGCAGCCTTTCTTCAATATTTTTGCCAAACCAAGAGCATTATAGCCCTTGTTGGAGCATTATAATCAGCATTACAAGGTAGTTTTTGGAGCATAATGATTAGCATTATACGTACATTGTGGTAGACAGTGTCGTATTACCCTCAAAATGCGAAGAGAAATTTTATGTCTTTCGCTCAGGGCCCTACGCTATGCTTTTTTGCCTCGCTCATCATGCATGTATTGTTATTCGAACAGATGGAAACTAAGTACTTGTTGCAATACAATAACATGCTTGATGAGCTATGGGAAAATGCACAGCGTAGGTCTCTGAGCTTCCAAGCTCTCTCGTTGCCCAGTTCTTGTGTTCTGTACAAGTATATCGACGTTCGCCATGACAAATCCAGGTTGCATTGTGTAGAATTTGCTTTCATTACATTTTCGAGCATTCCATTCATTGTGCTATTTTCCAGTACATAAGGAGTGTCCAGTCTAGGCCTTGACCGGGATTATGCTAATATTTTCGTGAAATTATGCTTTTCGCATTGCTGAAAAAATTGCAGAATTATGCTATTTTTATGCTAAAAGTTATCATATTATGCCCCATTATGCTCACATAAGCTGCTAATGCATAATGGTTCTGTGCAAAATAACAGGGGAATTTTTTTGTAGAGGGCGTTGTACTGTAATAGCAAAGGTTCAACTGGGTCAACGCACTGTCCGACCTAGCTAGCACTGATTGTAGTAGACTGGACATGTTACCAAGGCCAAGGGAGTCGTAAACCTACAACTTCCTAGTGCATCTACTTGTACTTGTACATGTACTTGTAGAACATGTACAACTGTATGGAATTTGATGCGAACAGGCGGATTATTACAATTTTATGCGATTCGTATGCAATTTGCCTCGAATTATGCGATTATTCGATTTTGGTAGGAATTATGCGAAAAATTATGCTAGCATAATCCGTCAAGGCCTAGTCCAGTCCCCATTTTTTTTTAAATATTGTCGCGGACATCTTTTCGCACCATTTCTAGCGCAGAAAATTCCTGGGTATATCATACGGCTTGTCGCAGCTTTCGTATCACATTTTGTCTGTTATCACCAAGGAGTCGTCCATGGTAGATATCTACATGGTATGATCATCCCCCATACCTACCAACCAACCGCACACATCGTATATCCCGCGGCCCGGGACATGCCACATGTGATGTCACACTTCGAATGTTCTACTGTGCCACATGTCACACTTCAATGTTCAGTGTAAGACTGACTCGCCAGTTTTGCCAAACATCTCCTTTTTTTGTGGCGGTTGCATGCACTGAATAGGCACGGTAACATAAAAAATAATATTTAAAATAATGTTTTTCGTTGTTTATCTTCGGAGCTAGCGATGTAGGCCGCCGTATTTAGTTTTGTATCACTCGACATCAGTCGTATACTTCTTTTAGTAACATAGTCATTACATGTACATGTACATGTACGTACATGTAATGGGACATGGAAGACTTTCTCGAGTGTGTCGCTCGTTGTCAGTTCTGTCAGCGGCTATGACACACATGTTCCAGGTACTCGACAGCGCGTCAATCTGCAGGAGTTTACCCACACTGGGCCACAGTGTGTCCAAGCGCTCGCTCTGACAGCGGCGCCTCATTACCCTCAGTGGTGGCGGTGAGGTTGAACGACAATAATTATACAATCTCTTCTCTTCTGCGGATACGCATCAAAGAAGCCAATCCGACAATTTACCATATTCCCCCTTGGTGCCAGTTTGTTGACCCAGTAAGAAATTATCATGATTGTATCAGTTTACGTGACAGAGAATGGTGATTGTAAGTTGAACTGAGCGTGCCTCCCAAGACCGCTGACTCAAAACGACCGACGGTTGTCATCACCAAACGCAGCTTCCACCCGTCGCTCGCCGGCACTGCGGCGAGCCGCTTTGCCTTGCCTCTGGCGTCGAGACTATGAATGTGATAGAGGGTTTGGCGAAAAGGTGGCAAGATCACGGAGCTAGCGTCCGGCCGGGACATTCTAAATGCAGTATAAATTCCCGAGGTCTTGCCAATCAGCGAAGAAAGTCATCAGTCTACCTTGCAATTGAAGTCGGCAAAAATTACCTCAGCAGTCGCTCTCCGTAGACCTGCGCGGAAGTGTACTTTGAAAGCAGTGGAATAGTAAAAGCAGTGGAATAGTAAAAGGAGGTGAGTTGCGCTTCAGTGTTCTGCATTACCTCAGGCTCTCTAGAAAACATGAGCATAACAATGAAATCTGTCTAAGACGACCGCTCAAGAGGCCTTCCAAATGTGGTCTCTGTTGCCAGGTGGTCTCCTTATCCACGGTCGTTTGACAGGAAATAGTATCCCTTGGTCCTGATTGCAGTGGTCTTCTGGGACAGGTGGTCGCCTTAACGAGTGGCCGCCTTGACAGGTTTTAATGTAACAAGATACACCATGTGCCAGTGTAGGAGGTGCATGTCAATCGGGAGGGTAGGGTAGGGTAAGGGGTGGAGGTACGTAGGCTCTACTAGCAGCATAGGACTTGAGAGTGCTGCATCACCTGAGCCAGGCTGTAGTCGTGACAATGCCGACATGTTGGATATACACATGTTTGGAACGCTTTCCAACGGCCAAAGAGACTCGGAAAGCTTGTGCTTTTGTCGAGCCAGTGCTCTCGGCAAAGACTTCTGTGTGTTGTTGTTACCCGGGGAATGCCGGGATCACAGCGACGGGTGTTTTCCTTCATATTGGGATGACACCTGCTGTAGCGACTGGGCACTGGGCCCTCCTTGCCCGGCATCCACTGCAGTAAACAAAACACAAGTCACACCAGGATGCGACATCCAGGAGCCGACCCACCACATACAGATACCGTACTTCGCTATGGTCACAGTGTACGAAATAATTCGGCCCAGAAGTCATTATTTTATTTGCCGTCTGGCATCATCACTTTCAAGATCTTTTGTGCTACAGTTGTGAGTTGGTGACAAAACATATCTGACCTGTGCATTGATGTGTGTTGTGTTGTGTTGTGTTGTGTCCCCGTTGTGTACAGGTACTCTACACACTCACACTGTCTTGCACTGATCTGCAGCCTGGCAGGATGGTGTTGGACAACCGTCATGTTCTCATTGGTCTGCTACTTGCACTACTGGCAACAGAAGGGAGCAGTCAACTTGGTAGCAGTGATAAAGATAATTATGTAGCTGGTACTGTACTGCCGCTTGGATATGGTAGCGGAGGTCCTTTTCAACCTGATAAAGATATTGTCTCAGACCTTGATGGTGAGTAATCTCTTTTTGATTTGAAGCAGGTCCAAGTACATTGTGGCATTATAGGCCTACTAATTATCGGATCCATACTGTCTGTTGGGTTTGAAACTTCAAGTAAAACAACCGACTATCCTAATATGACTACCGCAAAGTACCGTTGATCCGCCCCCTCTTTAAATCCTTCACCCTGTCGGTATTTCTACTTGTGAAGCGACTTCGGCGTACACAACGAAATACGATGTTGAACCGACGCATGCACTGCTGTACACAATACATGCCAATCCAGGATGAAAATGTGCACAATTCAGCACATCGAGTCTGATCCTCCACGTTGTTGTACATCGTACTGCACTTGACAGCCTTGATCTAATTCCCGCCACCTGCCGAAAACCCAGCTGGGAAGCGATATGGCGTGGGGGCGGATCAACGGTATTTTACGGTACTTTCCATAGGGAAGGATGCACTCCCGAATGAGTCATAACATAAACTAGTCAATTCTTTTCATCCCCCCCCCCACACACACACACACAAATTTACACACACGCGTATGCACAAACACACACACATACACACATATACACATACACACACTGCTACAACTACTATCAATCAGCTATCCAAGTGGGGTCACGCCGCCCTCCACTCAGAGAACTAAGCGCAAAGTGAGGGGCAGTGGCGCAAAACAACACAGGAGGCACAGCAGAATGAATTGAAAAGAATGGGAAGACTCGCACCGAACCACCATGACTGTCATGGCTACGCACAAAGGCACATGCTTTCCAACTCTCTTACAGCCGTTGGAAAGCGTAACGGCCTGCACTTAGGCAGTAGTCCATGTGAGCAAAGTGCAGAGGTTGTAACAAGCATGCCAATTACATAGAAAGTGATTGTAGCTGTGTGAGTCACCAGCGTTCCAACGATACATTCTGTTCAACAATAACGTACACACACACACACATTCACATTCACATTCACACACACACACACACACACACACACACACACACACACACACACAGTGACACACCACCACCACCACCACCATTGGACCATTGGACCGGCCCATCGCCAGAGGCGATGATAGCGATGCTACAGCAGAATCCATACCAGCTTGTGCTGGGACTGCACCATTCAACAGCTTGCAAGGCTGAAGAATTGACCGCCACTATTCACACACACACACACACACACATACACACATACACACACACACATACACACACACACATACACACACGCATACATACACACACACATACACACATACATTCACACACACACCTCAGACCTCAGACATGCCCATCGCGGAAGCGATGATAGCGAACAGCTATGTTAGACATAGCAACTTGTGCTGGGATTACACCATTCAACAGCTTGCAAGGCTGATGAATTGACCGCCACTATTTTTAGCCTGGTATCCACCACACAGCTGTTTGAAGTGACTTTTTCTGGCCAGTGAATCCCTATTTTTCATTTCAATTTTTTCCATTTTTTTTACACACACACACCACACCACATACTCCGGCATACACTGGCTGTTGGTAACCACCCAGGAGAATGAAAGAAAAGTCAAGAAGAGTCCGAGAAAGAGAAGAAAGACGTGTGCGACCATAATCGTCGGGAATTGAACCCGCAACCTCTTGATTGGAAATCGACTGCACATACCACTGCACCATATGGGACACACACACCATATGGGACACACACACACACACACACACACACACACACACACACACACACACACACACACATACACACACACACACACACACACATACATACACACACACACACACACACACACACACACACACACACACACACACACACAAATGCCTCGGACCCGCTGCATTGTTTAAATCAAGAGTCCAAAACCCCAAGAGTGTGCAACTGGGGTCTGGCTGCTGTAGGCCCACTGCGTGGCGGAATTCCAACATTACGTCATGCCGCTGAGGCACAGCTGTACAAAACTCCGCATTCCGCGGTGCTTGGAACCAGGCAGTACTCCAGTAGTACAGGGTCAACTACCGTGTTTTGACGTAATGTTGGAATTTCGCCGCGCGGATCCCCATGTACAGAGTTGCACACTCTTGGGGTTATGGACTCTTGTTTATACATATCAGAATGGTTTCTAATGACTGCAAAGTATCAGAATAGTTTCTAATGACTGCAAAGAATCAGAATGGTTTCTAATGACTGCAAAGTATCAGAATGGTTTCTAATGACTGCAAAGTGACTCAACCCATGCTATTAGTTAGCGCTGCTCTACAAATTCAAGAGTCGTTAATGCATGATGTGCTCTGCACACAATGAACGTTGGTATGCTCCAATTGATCCTTTATCTCGTCCTCAGCAACGCACCCACCTGACGCGGTTATTACATCGTCCTCAGCAACGCACCCACCTGAGGCGGTTATTACATCGTCCTCACCAACGGACCCACCTGAACCAGTTGTTACCTCGTCCTCAGCAACGGACCCACCTGACGCGGTTATTACATCTTCCTCAGCGACGGACCCACCTGAACCGGCTGTTACCTCGTCTTCAGCAACGGACCCACCTGAAGCGGTTGTTACCTCGTCCTCAACAACGGACCCACCTGAACCAGTTGATTCCGCCAAGTGCAATGAGACATTCCACTTTGAAAATGGCAAATATTATGTAAAAACTACCAGAGAGCCATTCGAATCTCCCGATACTGTGGTAGGTACACTGAAACACATTGCCTGCCACTTCAATTGCTGGCAACAAATATATGTTTGTGCAGCGCGATGAAACTGGGCAATCTCTATAACAATGTTATTACCTTGATTGTCATTGTCGTTCTGTCCTGTAGCAATGTTATTACAAATTTATACCCCTCTTTAACCTGCCATAAGGTGCATGTATTGGGTAGAGGCACTACAGAACACTGCATGTTGTTGTAGGGATTGAGGAACTAAATCAAGTGTCAAGTCGAAATGCCACCCTGTCATAGTAGACTGTCCCTGCCTTGGTCATAATGTTGGACTGTCCCTGCCTTGGTCATGATGATGGACTGTCCCTGCTTTGGTCATGATGATGGACTGTTCTTGGCATACATGTAATACTGGCCTACCAAGATAGCTGAACCCCATTACCTGAATACTTCAATCCTAAGAATCCGGATTTTTTGTTTGTGACTCTGTGTTTGCTTGTGTTTGATGTTGGTGACAGTGTATGCATGTGTGTGCATGCATGTGTGTGCATGTATGTGTGTGTTGCTGTGTGCGTGTGTGTGTTTGTGTTTGGGGGGGGGGGGGGGGGTTGTTCTGTTCTGTCTTTCCAACTTTACCCAGGCCATATTCCAGTGCAATTTAGGGTTTAACCTTATTGGATGGCAGGCAATTCTGTGCGATGAGACTCCGCCAGCTCAGTGGTATAAAGCACCGCCAACTTGCCAACGTACGTTTCCCTTTGTTCACCGCGTATTTTCTACTGCCGTAGAGTAAATTGTGTGTCCTCCTCGTGTTGTTGTGCTGTATGTTGCATCGCGGGACCGTCACCCTGCCAAACAACAGCCTTCCAATTCAACTTAACAAGCGCGGCAATAATTTAAAAGGCCCGCATTTACGTTGAGCATACCCTCTTCTCTTTGTTTTGTTTGTATGGCAGAATACGAGTGTCTAGACCCGCCATACACAAAGAAAGGTATTATAAAACGGAAGGAAGGCGGCAGATACCCAGGAGGCACGGTGAGCTCTAGATTCCAATTGAAGGGAGCATCCCTGGCGGTGGGGATTGCAGGGTTTAGAGGGACTGCATGCAGTTTGGGCCCATAGTGTCTGGCACACTTCACTGTCTTCAGTGTTCTGTTCGCCCAAGTTGGTTACAGCTTGCTCCTACGTGGAGCTTATGCTTCCTGCCAAATTACCTTAGGCTGACACTAGTACTTGACTGACTCACCACAGGTCTACAGGAGGCGTGAGCTCCATGTTGGAGCAGGGGCGTCGCACCCAGTGCGGCAGGTGAGGCCAATGCTGCACCAATAATTTTAGGATTTGTATCCTGTGATTTTCGAAGTAATGAAACATGGGCTATTCGGCCCCAATTTGGGCCCAATTTACCAAACAGAACCCGCGGGACCTGCTGCTATTTCATAGCCGTGCCAATTTAAAGTGGCTTGCGATGCCCATGACGACCTGAGGACTGAAACCGACTTTGTCAATTACTACTGCTGAAGTCACCACTTATAAATTCTGCTTGATAGTATTCTGCATGCGCAATGTATGAATTTATTTTTATAAAAGGAAAAATTGTAGGCGTATCCAATTTTGAAAGAAAAGGTGTCAGCACCGACGCAATCCACACAGTCAAGTAAGCCAATTTGTTAACCACACGTTTTCGCTCCCTTCTCATCATGTGTGAGTAAGCCCAAGTCCAAGTCGGCGAGGCAAAGAGGTGCAGAGCTGTTAAAGCAATGCCAGAGACACCGACTCGAAGAGTTACTCGCAGTCAGGTGAGGATGCGTACTGGAGGAGACGAACAGGCGGCAATACCGGAAGTGACGGCGAGCGTAAGTGGGAGGAAGCGTGGAAGACCACCACGAAAGCCACTGATCAAGACAACGGAAGAATCAGACACCGAACGAGTGACCAGGCGGTGTGGTGGAAGGGAAGAGTCAGGACCTGCGACATCAGAAGTGACTGGAACGTGACTGGCCAGTGGAAAGGACGGGTCAAGAGCTGCGACATTGGAGGTGACAAAAAAGACGCGACATTCGAACAATCAGCAATCGGCTATCAAGTCATCTGTCTGTTAGTGATAGTTGTCGTGAGTTGTACAGAGATGATGTTTTCTCAGTTTTGGCCCGTAGCAGATCTGTATTACATTTGTCTGTTTTGGAAGGGTTTTATATCCGCAAGTTGTCCCCTGAACTATGTGTTCAGAAGGAAAATGTTTTGTCACTTCAGTTGTTTGGCGCTAATCCTCGTGAAAGTGTCAGGAGTGCTTCTCCTCACTGATGATTTCATTATGTTTTAGTCATTTCTTCTCCTTCACCCTGTGTTTGACCTGTTCTGCTTTTTTTCCACACGTATAGCGTGAGGTTCACGATGTATGCTTTTGCTGTAGCTCTATAAATTGCTATACAGTAAAACCTGTGACTACCGACCACCCCTTGGTGCCAGCAAAAGCGGTCTTTAGTAGCAGGTGGTCTTTAGTTAGAGGTTTGCACCGTGCGACCATAATTATCCCAGTATATGATATGCATATCAAAATGCAGCTAATACAATTCCCCAGGACTTGCGCAATGCAATTCTTATTTCAGGTCAAACAACACTTGGAGAGAAAGACGGAGAGATGGAGAGAGACAAAAAAGAGAGAGAGAGAAGATTAAATTTTTTGCGGACATCAAATTCAGCTGCTACTTCTGAAGCCAGAAGTCAACTGCTCTCTTTGGCAATTAATGACTGGTGTCTTGCTCGGGACCAGAGCCTGACCTCTGCTGTCGCGTTTGTTGACCTTAGTAAAGCGTTCGATCGTGTGCAGCATCAGCATCTACTCTTGGCTTTGCACGAGATTGGTATCAGCGGATCTGCACTCTCATGGTTTAAATCCTACCTTTCTGGCAGAGCCCAGCGGGTCCTCAGGTGCGGTGAGGTCTCTCCATTTCTACCTGTCACTCGTGGGGTCCCGCAAGGCAGTGTCTTGGGCCCAACTCTGTTTAACATCTATGTTCGCCGCCTTCCTGCAACTGCTGACACATCCGGGACGAAATTGCTCGCTTTTGCGGACGACAAAACGGTGTACGCATCCTGTCCGACGGCAAAGGCTGCAGATTTAGTTTCCCACACGTTATCAGCACTCGCTACTGATCTTCAGCAACTTGGCCTGACTATCAATGAGAATAAGACTGTTGTAATGTTCATCGCTCCCAAGCGCTCGCCGGTCTGTCCCACGCCCACTATCTGTATCGATGGTAAAGTGCTGACAGAAGTGTCCAGTTCTCGCTGTCTGGGGGTTGTAATTGACAACAAGCTCTCGTTCACACCTCATTGTGATAAGCTTGTTGCCAAGGTGTCACGCAAAATTGGTGCTCTACGGCGTTCTTTTCGTCAACTGTCCCCGTGCGTTTGTCGCCTTTATGTGCTATGCGTAATTCAATCTGATCTAGAATTTGCATTTCAATCGTTCTTACCCTGCTTATCTGCAAAAGATCGTGAGCGCCTATTTGCTGTTCACCGTCGTGCGATCCGAGCTGCCTGTGGTGCCCATTACTGTGCTGACGTGGACCCCCTTTACCACTCTCTTAAGCTATGTCCTCTGGACCACCGTTTCTTACAGTTGTTCATTAAATTTATCTTTCAGTGTAAAGTAGCTCACCCGGTTGCCAGTTTAGATTCTCTATTTTGTAGGCACAGTACACCTGCTTACACCACTCACGGCTCTTCTGCAAATAATCTTTCGTTATGCCGATATAAGACTGCATGCGGGTATCGCTCATTGTCTAGTAGGATTGCTTTACTTTGGAATGCTCTGCCCTTTGAAATGAAGTCTTGCAATACGTCTTCTGCATTTAACGCCCATCTTGCCTGCCTTCTTAATGACGGGCCAGAATGTACCCGGTTAAAACAGCTCCTTTTTGAAAATGTTTTCAATGAGTGATGTGTCGCTTTGTTTTGCTCTAATTGGTGCTTTTCTCCAATGTCATGCAGTCGTATTTATTCAGCTTTTATTTCTTGTGTACTTGCATATTGGTATTAGTTTAGTCCCACAACCTGCGATAAAATGATCAGCTGTAGCACCTACTCCACTTTTATGTTTATGCATCTATGTCATTCGGATCTTCCCAAGTTGTACATTGTACTGTTGAGATACCGAATTCAAATAAATCAATACCAAATACCAAGTCAAACGTTCCTTTTGCGCTGGGGCTTCAAATTTGTTCATCCGATCAATCGTACCGACTATCCTTGTTGTGACTTCTTGATTGTTCGAACGCGATCCTTCAGCATCAGGACCTTGCGGTGCTGCTTTGTTTCTGGATTCCTTGACGCCATCGTCGATTCATTTGTATGACTGGGGTGACAGAGCCGCTCAGTCTTCGTTTCTCCTCCGAGTAGTAACATCGAGCAGAGAGTGCTTTCAATGCGCAACCCCACAGTCATGATGGCCTGCGTTCATTTCTTCAGCTGTAGTACCGAAAGATTCCTTTCAGGACCATGGAAAATCAGCAAAATTTCGAGAAGGAACTTCGAGCAACATTTGATTTCCTACATCGCGGTCGCTAGTTACGGGTCAAAAATCATCTTTGGGACAAGAAAAGGCGGTCGCTGGTCGCGTTCAGCAGGTAGTCGCTAGTCACAGTGCATTTTGAATGTGAGACCGTCGGTACCTTGCCAAGTGGTCGGTAGTACCAGGCTGGTCGCTAGTCACGGTGGTCTGTAGTTACAGGTTTTACTGTATTTTGACATTTTTCCATTATTTTTATTTATTTTATTTTATTTCACCGTCCAATGGCAGAAGCTAATGCAAAGGAGGGGGCGTTAACCAGTCATGGCAAGAGAAGGAAAAAGAAAGAAAAAAGGAAAGAACATAATAATCGGAAGAAAAGAACCCATCAGCGGGGTGAAATTTATCACTATGTTGACCATGGTGGATAGTGGCGTGATAAGCTAGGAAAAGAGGCGAGTGAGCCTACAACTTGGCATGACATTTAACATGGTCTATGAACTGTCTAATATCGGATATTGTCTTCATTTCCATGGGTAGTTTGAGCCAATATGAATATGCAGAAAAGATAGGGGATTTGGTAAACATAGTTGACAACGCTCTGGGAAGTACTATGCCATTGCGAGTGTCCCGTGCGAAAGTAAACCAATTATACTTGCTGAGATGTTCAGGGACAATGTTCAGTTTAATACGATGGACCAGAACGCATGACTGTCTCTGCGACAGGATAGAGATGGGGCTGGTGGAGACCCAACTATATAGATCAGTAGAGGGGAATAGAGAGGGTTTACGGAAAATAAATTTTAACACACATTTATGATGTGTTTCTAGTGCCTGTACAGAAAGATTTACTAAGCAGGGAATGCCAAGCAGTGGCGCCATACAGAAAGATTTACTGAGCAGGGAATGCCAAGCAGTGGCGCCATACAGAAAGATTTACTAAGCAGGGAATGCCAAGCAGTGGCGCCATACAGAAAGATAGGAAGAAGGTAGCAATTATAAAAGAGACGAATACATTCGGGGGACAAGTGGGAGCAGTGAGACATCAGACCGTGAACCTACAGATTTGCTAACTTTGTTGCATACAAATTCTACGTGAGAATTCCAGGATAATTGCGAGTCAAATACAACACCCAAATGCCTGTGCGTATCTACAATATTAATAGCCGAATCAAGGGGTAAATGTGGGAGGGTGGTCTAGTTGAGGGAGAAAGACGTGTGTCAGCTGCATGGTGGTTGAGTCTCCTTGTCGAAAACAAGATTGGACTGGGGCAAGGGCCGGCGACACATGAGCATAAAGCTTGTCAAAGAATAATCGCTCACATAATTTAGATATACAGGACAATAGGGAGATAGGACGGTAATTGCTGGCTTGTGACTTGGAGCCTTTGCTCTTGTAAACCGGAACAACCTTCGCGAGTTTCCATCATCAGTGCTGCTGGAAATTTACCCGTCGAGAAGGACACATTAAAAATACGGCAGAGGGTGTACGATATCGACGGGGCAAGTTTCTTCAGGACAT